GCAAGTCTCTATGTCATAATTCTGAGATTACGTCTCGCAAATCTGACTTTGTTTCCAGCACAGAATTTAAAAAAAGAAAATTGTGACTTTTCTCACAGTCCTGATTTCTCATATCAAGTCAAAATTGTGATGTGTGTGTGTATATATAACTCACAAATCTTAAGAAGATACTCTCACAATTCTGAGGTTATATCTTGCAGGGTTTTGTTGTTTCCACCACAGAATAAATCAAAATGATAGTTGCGACTTTTTCTCTCAAACGTGTTACTTTTTCTAGCAATTAAGAATTTGTCTTAATATTCCGAACCGCTAGTTTGTATCTCGCGATTCTGACCGTGGAATTAAAAAGGTAACTGCAACATTTTATTTCAAATTTCTTACTTTCTGAGAACTTGTGTCTCCGAGCTTTCTTTTTAGGAATGCTAGTTTGTGTCTCGCAATTCTGACTTGATCTTTTTTTCCCCCTCACTTTGTTCCGACACCGTTTCCACCACAGAATAAAAAAAAGCACATTTTTCTCACAATGCGTACTTTTTTCTTGCGAAGTTTTTAACTCGAGATATCATTTTGATATAAGAAAGTGAATTGTGAGATAAGTTGCAATGACCTTTTACATTTTTAAAAATCTGTATCTACTTGGAAAGTGTCTTACGAGTGCTTACACTAGTGTGCACTACGATCTGATTGGTCATGAATGCTGACGATCTTCTCTCTCGTACTGTTAAAAATGACTAGCCAAGCAGTCGACCATGGACCTACGGTGTCCCAAATCGCTTACTTATGCACGATTCTGACATTTTGTAGCACAAATAGTGCGAGTAGTGTGTTCACACTGAAAATTCCAAAAAGAAAAAGTGCACTTTAAGTACCCGGATGATGCACTTAAAGGGATAGTTCACCCCAAAATGAAAATTCTGTCATTAATTACTCGCCCTCGTGTCGTTCCAAACCTGTAAAGACATTCGTTCATCTTCAGACACAAATTGAGATATTTCTGATTCTCTGAGCCTGCATAGACGGCAAGGATACTAACACGATCACCGCACAGAAACGTAGCATCGTTAAAATAATCCATGTGACATCAGGGGTTGAACCGTGATGTTATAAAGCTAGGAGAATACTCTGTTCACGCAGAAAACTAAAATAACCACTTTCTTCAACATTTCGTCTCCTCCGCGGCACTCTATAGCGCCATTTTGGAGTTTCACATACGTACACAATGTTCCGATCAAAAATGAATTTTTTACAATTTTCTATTTATTTCATAATATAAGAAACCGTTTAAAAATATATAATTGCTTTCATTTTTTTTGAAGTGTGTAGTAAAAACAATAAAACAGCCTGAACAAATATCATCAGAATGAGTTTACGCTACATTTTTCGAAAAATAAAAAATAACTGATTTAGAATTGATTTATTTATTAAGTTTAGAACTGTTCAAATGTGTTCTAAGAAGCCTTCTGTGGAATCAAATGTTGTTTTATTCAAATGTTACATTATTTTAATTTTGCATTTTCGAAATATAGTTTATTTGCAAAAACATAACTAATAATTTTTCAAAAATCATGTTTTTTATGTTATGCTTTTATTGTGTTAGTTGTATTTTTTAGTCATTTTTAAAACCTAATCAAAAGAACCCGACTGCAGTTTGACAGATTAATTGGAATGCACAATGAAAAAATATGATTTATGAAAATTGTTAAAAACAGTTATGTTTTTTTGTGTAAATGGACTCTTCATATGTTCAGTGTATAGACTGCGCAATCATATTCAAAAGCCTTAGTTATTTAATATTCTGCTTTTTATTTCAGAAACATGTCTATAATCGGTCAGAATCACGCATCTGTCTGAATGTCAGAGCAAAGCGTAAACAGAAAAACACACAAATGAAACTTGCATTTGAAGAATTTTAATGAAACGGCCTGAGCAAATATCTGCAATGCATGAATTTATACAGTAGAAATCAATTCAAACATGTCCATAAATCTATATTCATAAAGTCAGCGGTACTAAAGGCCTGTGAGTGGAAATATGAACAAAAACAGACAGAAGCTCATGCAAACGATAAACACCAGTGAGCAAAAACATGCCGAAGAACCTCAGGCGTAAACATAAGCGTGCATATCGGCAAGAGAATAAAGGCATTCTTAAATATATTTTCACCAGCTCTTTATATTGTACAGTATTTACAGACTAATGACAGTTCATTCAGTTACAAACACATCAAGGCACATTCATAAATATCCATAAAACAGACTCATGTTTACTGATGCCTAGTGACGCATTTCACATGAGATCAGAGGATCATTGAAGAATAATTGCTATTTATTATACAAATGACAAATTCAAGGTGAAAAGGTGGATCCTTTCCGAGCCAAAGCCTAAAATGTTTTTCTCTTTAACTCTTTCCCCGCCAAACACAGAATTTCCCGTGTTTTTTCACGCTAGGGGGGCGCTATCACGCATCTCCTGAATGAGTCTAGAAACTCGATCAAAAACACAGGTGGTGAAGACGCAGAAACCAGCGATCGCATATGTAAGCATATGCATATGAAAAATAATGCGAGCATCAACAATAACCGCATATATGAATGAAAGCTGATTAATGTTAGCGAGTGAAATGTGGATCCAGAAAGGACTGTGAAGCTTTGGGAGCGCTGATGGAAGCCATCTACTGCAGGAGAGAAAAACGGGGGGGAAACCAAAAAAATGTAATCTAGAAAAAATGAGGAGAAAAAAATTTGAGCGAGAGAAAAAAATCCTAGTTCTTAATCTCAGGAAGGATTTCAGGGCTTCTGCAGTTTCAGAAATGAAAAACATGTTTGTTTCATTAAACCATCAACCTGAGAGTCAAGAAAGCGAGCTGGATCAGCAGACTCCGCTGTCGTTACACAGATAAACTGCAAATGATTTTCTGTGACAGATGCTGCTGAAAGAGCTCAACTTCTCATTTATTCGCTGGACTGATATTACATTCATCATACTTCATGAACATAAGCAGTGATGATATTTAACAAACCGTTGGACTAGAATTGCCATCGCGTGTTCGTCACTAGGCAACGGTACATTTCCGCCGTGTGTTACCATGGCAACTACGATTTAAGACTTCGGATACGGCGTTCATTCTGTCGTTTATAATATATATCTCCAAGAGATCAATAAATAACTTTGTCAACACAATCAGCTTGATTTCTGATCATACAGTATATGTGAGAGTAGATGCTGTTTACATTTATATAGAGATCCATTAATACAGAAAAACATCCCAGACATTCAGGAGAGCTGAACGTCAACGATAGTGTTGCAGTGTTAAAGTTTTTCTATTTATGACTCCATACATCAGAAAAACACATGTTTATAGAAATAAAATGTTGTATAAATCAGTATGAATGAAATCTGAACAAAGCCTCCAGAACTGGTGAGTTTGCTGTATGTAAGTGCTGCTGGAGCGTGATTATTCTTATTATAATGCATTCAGGTGTTAGATGTCATAATTGGTTCAAGGTCTGGATTCATTTTTGTAGATCCACTTACTCACAGAGACTTCTTTCAGACACATAAAAAACTAAAAAGATCATTTTGACTATCTCACAATTCTGTGTATATTTCACCATTCAGACGTTTAAATTCAGAATTGACTGGAAAAAAACAAATTATGAGATAATTATGAAAGATTATGAAATAATCTTACTGAATGTTCCAGTTGTTTATGATTTACTGAATAAGAATTTAGGGTAAGGAGTTGTGAAAATATTTAGATTTTTACTCATAACTCATAAGTTTTCAATAAAAAACAACTTTTCTTAATTCTTAACCTCTTAAACTAAACCAGATTATTGGTCTTACCCCACTGGCAGATATCTTTACTTGTTTTAAGCAAAAACTAACAAAATGGATATTTGTTTCATTTTTGTCAAGTAATGCATCTCAATTCAAGCATTTGTAGATATTTATACTAGAAAACCACAACAAAAATACTTCATATAATTAAGTAATAATTAATTTCCATAACTTTTTCAGTCGTTCAGGATTTACTAGATACAAATAAAGTAAGAGTAAAAAATACTTCTATGCACAAGTTTATTTTTATTTAACTAGCACAAATTATATTCTATTATATAAATTTTATAATATGAATAACCCATGTTGTTTAACTAGTAAAATCTATATTCATACATAAATGCCCATTAATTTCCAAGACTTTCAACGTTTGCGGAGGAGGCGAATTCAAGTCAGGAATATTTGAGTTGAGATTAATTAATGCTTGTTTTGTCTGGTTTGAAATCATTTTTATCTTGAGGCCTCTGGTTGAGAGCGACTGGCTTGAGTTCGATCGGTGCGGGATGGAGACGCGAGTCAGAGACGTGTACCTGTGTCTGCAGCGTCTGAGGAAGCGCATGATCTTCCGCGCCGCCTGATCCTGTTTCTTGGTCAGGAACGAGCCTCTGACACACACAACGAGAGTTTAAGAATCACAGAATCACTCATATAATGATCTGCAGTGTGGTATATTGTGTGCGTCTCACTTGAGCCTGGTGTTGAGGGCCCCGGGGCCGCGTGGCCCCTGCTTGACGCGCTCATACTCTTTATAGCTGCGGTAGTACTGCTGGATGAGGACGGCTGCTCGCCGCGACTGCTGGAACTTCTTCTGCTCGTAATAACTGCGGAACTTGCTCTGAATCAGTATGGCTGCCTGCGTCATCTTCTTATACAAGGCGTACTGGAGGAGGACAAACATACACACACACACACACACACACACACACATATATATATAAATACTGCAGGAGGACGACACAATACACACACAGCAGAAACCGTGCGAAACCACAACGGTGTGTACAGTTTAGTTTGACATTACCTTCAGTGCTATCCATGTTAGCTAGTGTGAAATTAAACGAGAAACAGGAGAGATCAGAGACACGGCAGCAATATTAGTGTGTTAGCGAAGACACGCACGCACGCACGCACACACACACACACACACACACTCTCACACA